ACTATTTTTTTTTTTTTTTAATTTTTTTTTGTATCTGTTCGTTCCCTGTTGGTAAATAGATAGCCTGGTCGTCGGATTCGGATAGATGGAAAAAAGATGAAAAATCTTGGAAAGGTGGAGTCGACGGCGGCGCGTGGGGAAACGCGGGGGAATGTATTTGGGGGTGGGTGGGGGGGTTAGTTATCTATCAGCTTGAATGTTTTAATGGAGCAGACATGCGCTTTGATTAGATGGAACTGGAATTTTAAATTGGGAAAAATGAGTTTTTTAGTCCTGTAAGTTTGCTAGTTAAGAGTTTTAGTCCACCATGTTTCAAAATCAGAATTTTAGTCCTGTAAGTTACAAAAGTTGAGAATATTGGTCCTATGACCTGCTATAACAGGTAATGTGATGGTAGGTTGAATGAGTTGGCATTTAAAATAAAAAAATAAATAGATTAAAAATAAATTAGGTGATGTAGCTAATGAGTTGGATGTTTTTGGAGAAAAAATTGATCCTCAATGTCAAATTCACCAAAATAATGACGAAATTTTAACATATTAAATATTAATTTATATATTTAATTTTTTTGTTATATTTGCAATAAAGAACCACAATAAAACCATTCAATAAAATCTACAATTATATTTTTATGAAGGAAATAAGACTAACTAATGTTTAATTAATATTTCTTAGTTTCTATTTGATAAAATAGTAATTAAATTCATATTTATCTAAATATTTCAATTTTTTTTACAAATCTATACTTAGTGATTACAATGAAATTGAACCAACAATCAAATTAAACATAAAATCGAAAAAAAAATATTTTATTAAACCTTGTTGTAAAGTTAAATGACATGCACAATCATAATTAGTATAAGAAATCAAATACACATTTATGAATTAACCGAAAAAATAATAAAATATATTCAAAACTCTATTAAATTAAATGTACCAAAAAAGTATTCTAGAGCCTCCAAACATAAAATACATCATCAAACCAAGAGTAACAAATATCTATAACGAGTAATAAAATATGATTACTATTTTTATCAATTGAAAACTATAAAATATTAATTAAAAAATAGTTACTACGAAAATGTTGATTTCATTCATCAAATAAAAAAAGTAATTTGATGGTATATTTTATTTCCCTCCAAAATCGTCCAACTCATTAGCCACATCACCTAATTTATTTTTAATCTATTTATTTTTATATTTTAAATGCCAACACATTCAACCAACCATCACATTACCTGTTATAGCAGGTCATAGGACCAAAATTCTCAACTTTTGTAACTTATAGGACTAAAATTCTGATTTTAAAACATGGTGGACTAAAACTCTTAACTAGCAAACTTACAGGACTAAAAAGCTCATTTTGCCTTTTAAATTGTTTGTTTAAATAACTGGATAATAAATTAATTACTTTATTACAAAATATAATAGTACATTATTCTTATTATTTTATTTTATTTTGAGTTTTGCCAATTTTAATTAAAAAAAATTTATTTAAGAACAATGGTTTTCATTTTTTATATTGAAAATTCTAATTTCTGATTCAATTTGAACTTCAAATTTATTTCTTTATTTCAAAATTTCAAGAAAAGAAATTCCAAAATATTACAACTACAATTCAATATTATCGTGCATTTTGTATTATAGGTGAATAAAAAGTGGACTTTCAAAATTTCTCCAATTTTGAACTGTTTTTTCATTCAAATTTGTAATCCCTACTACTATATTTTTTTCTACATACTTAAAATTAATTTTTTGTTTCGAAAAAATCTTTTTTCTTTTTCCAAAAGTGTTGATTTTGATGGGATCATTTCGATTTCCGCCCTTAATAATATCCAACTATATGATAAATGATGATGTTAACTTTATTTATGGCTCCTATTAAAATGTACCGATAAAAGTTCATTTTGATTAGAAATTATAATGCAATTATTATATATTTAGATGGGTCGGCTCTAAAATTATTATATATTTTTTTGGGTAAAATATTTCAAAGTCAAAACTTAGCCACCATCATCTCAATTCATCATTATAGTTACGACTTACGACTATCTTCTTATCATTGTAGAAATTTTTATACGTGCATACGTGTTTGTTGGATCAAGCCTAGAATTTAGGTAGAATTCCACCAATCGCAATAATAGTGGCGTCTTGGGGGTATTTTTGTCCTCTTCAAAATGTGAATTAAAAAAAAAAGTTATTGAATACCGAAATGAATTTCCGATTCGGTATTTGACACGTACCGAGTTTTCGGTTCTGCACGGCTCGGCCGATTTAGGGACCGGGTGAACTCCTAGTAATCCTGACGCACAATGTTCTAAAAATCGACCGAGGCGGCCGATAATTAGTCGGTCTCCGAGGCGGAGGCCATCCCAAACCTTTACGATTTTAGTGTAAAGGTTTGAAAATTTGATTTTTTTTGCCTATGAGGCGGTTTTAGGCGGTCAAACTCGGTGGCAAAAATCGGTCAAAAATTGTTTTTTTTTTTTTTTTTTTTTTTTTTTTTTTTGAAGTTGGAATTTTAATAAAAAAATATGAGTTTATGTTTTATTTTGTTTATGTTAACTGTTATTGTTAAAAAACTAATGATGTATGGTAGATATGTTCAACAACAAATGTAAATTAAAAAAAATGTCTTCTTACTTATATTTTATAAGGATATTTATGTATTATAGTCTTATTATTATTAAACTTTTATCATGTTATTATGTTATTAGGATGGCTGCGGCTATATGCAAGACTAATTCCACTTGTGCAAGACCAAATTAAAATTTTCAATGTATAAATACTATAATACCCTTATTTATTAAAAAAATAAAAAATTCCAAATATGCAAGACCAAAAATTAAAAAACACAAAAAACCCTATCACAAGACCACAAAACCACAAGACCAACTATCATCTTTTCCATCTTCCAAAACTCACAAGACCTTTCTCCTTCCTCCTCCATTAACCCACAAAACCTAGAAATTCAAAATCATCAAAACTCAACAAATCTTACAAAGATGGCAAGTATGGAGTCAGAAGACATCAAAATAGAAGATTCTACGATGGAAGAACCCAAGAATGTATGCATTTATGGGTTTTTTTAGCTAGAATATCGATTTTCCAAAAAATATCCCGCAAACGAATTCGACATGTACAGGTCGAATTTTACAGGTAAAAATCGACATTTAGATGTCGAATTTGAGGTATAAAATTCGACATTTAGATGTCGATTTTTAGGTATAAAATTCGACATTTGAATTTGTGCTACAAATTCGACATGTCAATGTCGATTTTTACCTATGAAATTCGACGCTTAAGTGTCGATTTGTAGCATAGTTTTTCGACACCTTGGTGTCGATTTTTGTTTTTTTCTCATTATTTGTATTTGGTCTTACATGAGAAAAAAAAGCCAATTTAATTTATGGGCATACTTGTCATTCCATCTTAATAAAATAGAATCTTTTGGAATCTTTATTTAATTTGGTATTGCACAAGTAGAATGAGTATTGCATATAGCCGCAGCCTATTAGGATATATACATGATGGTGATATAACCGTATTTAAATATATTTTTATATATATTTTGAGTATTTATAAATAATATCTAGAAATATATTATATTAAATTTTAAAAATTGATTTATTTTCGATTTATCATCGATTAATCGTGAGTTGGTGTCTGACCGCCTCCGACCCGATTACCGTTTACAACCTTGTTGACACATAATTATATGCACAAGTTGTAACGATTAAATGTTTTTCTTCTATTTAAAAAAATCCCTCTTATTTGGATAATTACAACCGGCAACTATGTATTTTGTTTTTACGGAAAACCCCATTATTAAATAGGTAAATTTGAAACCGTAAAAATGAACGTACAAGTCAATACATAGTAGACAATGATTGTAATTACTCAAACATGAGAAGATTATTTCGTAATTTCAAATTATCTTGACCGTAAGTTACCCTATATAGAATTAATGAACATAAAGATTATACAATTTTATAATAATTTATTTTATAATTCAAGCTTTTTTTACCCTTTTTCCTTTCTTTCTTCCATGTTCTTTTTATTCTTTTTACGCCTTAATTTGAAAAAGTAAAAGTAAAATATCATTTAAACGTAAAATATCAATTCAAATTAAAATTAATTTCAATTACATCAGAAAATGATGAACTTCAAGTTTGATATTTTTCAATCATCAAAATATTAAAAAAAAAAAAAAAAAAGAGAAAAACAAAATTGATACTCATGTTGCTCCTACAGATTTTAGCCACGTGTCACTCAGGTATGGCGACGAGCACAGGCCGCCACGCTCTCCTCAACAACCGCTGCCGGAGAGTCGCCGACAGCGGCCGCAGCGAGCGGGCGACGCCTCTCCTCAAATCGCCGCCCGATGGCAGCAGCATTTCCCTCACATTCTCCGAAAGCCTCTCCCCCAACGCCGGAGGCGACGACACGAACAAATCCTTGAGCTTCCGGCTGACCATCAACTCCTTACTCTTCTCCGGCGACCTCTCCTCGTCGTCGCCGCCGCCGCCGCCGCCGGACCTCCTCCGATCTGGCGACGCGTCGCCGCAGCGAGGAGGCAGCCTCCTCCTACTCCCCATTCCGGCGCGGCTGAGCAGCATCCGCAGCGTTCGCCTCCGGCGGAGGTAAATTACTGGACTGGCGGTGGGGCTTCTGGTTGGGCTGGCGGCGACCGCGCACTGAGTCGCTAACAGCTTGAATTTCTGCAGAGTTGCCATTTTTGTATCGGATGATTTCTGGTTTTTACGGAGAATCCAATTTAGGTCGATGGATTCAATAAAAATAGAGAAAAGGGGGTAAGAATTTAATAATAGTTTTATTTTAAGGGGTAAGAAATAAATAAATAAACAAATAATAGTTTAATTTAAGGGGTGAAGAGAGAGAAAAAGAGTAAAGAGAAATTTGGGCATCTTGTGAGGAGGAGTGGTCATGGAATTGTTCTTTGCTTCTCTCTTTATTGTGTTGTGTGCTTTTTTGGAATATGTGAAAAGCAATTCTACAAGTATGGAAGTGAGTGAGGTACAAATTACAAATTAGATAAACTTTTGAGTGGGAATATTTTTTTATTATTTACAATATAATTTTATTTCCCTTCTAGTAATTCAATTGAAGAAAATCATTCTTGGCCATGTGGGAAACTAGTCGTTATTAGTTAAATAATTGGAATTTTATTTGATATTTTGTGTCTGAATAACTTATCTGGTCGATCTGCAAACTGCAAATATTATCTTATTATAACTTATCTTGCATTTTTTGAAACTTCTTTGTTGGACATCTTGAGTCGATAAAATAGTTCGATTTTTTCATTAGATTGTTTCATTTTATCTTGACTAATTTTATTTTTTTACCGACCAAAGAAGGGCTTAATGTTTGTTTAGAAAATACATTCTTTTTTTTCCATTTCTCTAAAACAATAAAATTAAGAAAAAAGATGAGAGAGAGAGACAAGAGAGAGAAAGGCAAATGCTAGTGGAAGTGGAATAATAATTCAGAAGTGGGTCTTTTTAGGCTTCAATAGTTCAATTCAATCCCACTTTTCTTTTCTTACTCACACGTCTCGATACATATCAATTTTAAAATAATATTTTCTCTCAATATAAATATTAAAATACTTATTAATAAGGTAAAATAAATTTATATAAAAATAGGTAGTTAAATGTTCACAGGTAGGTAATCTCCATGTAATATGTACATTCCCTCAGAATTCTGTTGTCAAAAACCAGTGTAATTTCTACACACAAATAAACATTAAACACCATCAAATTTCTCTCACAACTCAAAGACAATGTAATATAATTTACCTTCACCCACTAGAATTCGGCGTGGACCCACCACCCGATTTCTCGATCGAACCAGGCGGGCCCACATCACCGTCCACTAATATATCCACAATATCAACCCTATGTGAATTCATATCTTCATTCTTGATCCCTCTCAAAGCCTCGACCACTTCTTCCATCGAAGGCCTCGTTTCTCTGTCCTGCTGCAAGCACCGGAAAGCCAATTCCGAAACCAGCGTAGCCATTCTCCTCACTGTAACATTCGTCTCGAACCCAATACTCGAATCAACCAACTCATGCAATGCACGATTCTGAATCTTGTTGACCGCCATATTGGCCAAGTTAATATCGTGCCTGTGCCTATTTGTATCCACCGCTTGTAACGAAGATATAAGCTCGATCAAAACAACCCCAAAACTATACACGTCGCTCTTTTCGGTCAGCTGGTAGCACTGGTAGTACTCAGGGTCCACATAGCCAGGTGTCCCTTGTGGAGCGGTCGATACATGAGTGACATCATTCGGGAATAACCTCGAAAGACCAAAATCAGCAACTTTTACGTGGAAATCATTGTCTAAAAGGATGTTGTTGGTTTTCACGTCTCGGTGAATGACGTCTGATATGTGGAGGTAAGATAGCGCTTCGGCTGTTTCAATGGCGATGTTGAGGCGAACGGGCCATGACAGTAGACCTGACCCGGCCCGTTTTCCGTGGAGGTGGTCGGCTACGGTTCCGTTGGGTATGTACTCGTAGACGAGAAGTAATTCTCTGCTTCGCCTGGATGTGCAACCGAATAGGACTACGAGGTTTTTGTGGCGTAGGCGGGTGAGGATCTCGACCTCGTTCATGAACTGCTCCACGCGCTTGAAGTTGTTCTCGTATAGGCGTTTCACGGCTACTATACGACCGTCGGACAAAACCCCTGTTTGAATATAGTACGTGTACGTAAGTATATATACGGTAGAGAGTCGATTCTAAGATAAGATTAGCCATTTTTTCCACAATATAGAGAGTCGGCCCAGAAAGTTATCGGTCTAACCAAACATCCAATAAAGTCGAACGACCTAATTAATCATGGTATACCCTAGCAACCAACCGGCGCCTAAATATAGGAAATGATAGATAAGCAGGGCTTGTATTTATTCTTACCATAATAAACGGTGCCAAATCCACCATCTCCGAGCTCTCGAGAAGGATTAAAACTATCGGTAGCTGCTTCGAGATCTTCGTAACTGAAAACCTGCACACCAAAATACGCACTGCCCCTACCAAGATCGGATTTCGAAGACGGATAAGAAGGGACACTTGTACTGAAATTAGTTGAAAGAGTTGTCGAGAGAGGTTTGCTACTCGACGGATTTGTAATTTCCTTGCTCGTAGCTTCGGTTGATCGAGACGCAAGGCGTTGATGGCGCTGCTTACTCCGTTGCCTGCAGTAGAAAATTAACCATCCGAGTCCGACACCAGCAAGAACTGCACCACCTATCGGAAGCCCTGAATTTGTCGACGGTAATTATTAAGAGGGTAAGTTTTTCGATTCTCGAGATAATTCGTTCGATTTGGAGAATATATATACATATGAACGATTATCGTACCAATTTTCAACTTCGAGCCATTATTACCTGCAGTAGCCAAACGGTACGAACGTGTTAGTTCGTGTGATAAGAGAGTAAATGCCACCACAATGTACCATACTAAAAAGAGTGTGCATTACATACACGGTAAGTAATTAGAGATCGAACTAAAAACACAAGTATAAATTCGATCGATATATACTTATATATATAATCGAGAACTTATCACATTCGACATCCGCAAATTACCTTCGGTAGCATTTGGGCTACCTTCAGGGGGGGGTGCCAAAGCGAAAGGACAAGGCCTATCGCCGCAAACGCAAACGAGTTGACCCGTAACCGAGTCAAACCCGCATTCGCCACCCAACCTACCACACTCGGAGCACAATCTTCGGAAAGGAACCGTGTAATTCACACTAAACCCCTGCATTAACGCTTCCCCGAGGCTAAGCCTCAAACTCGTGAGCCGATCGCCGGCATCCCTCAAAATCGGGACACCTATGCTTTCGCTGCAGTGTATGATATTCAGAACCGGGTCACGGGGAACCGGCCCGATCAAATGGTATGCGTCGGTGAAATTGAGACCGGCGGAATTACAGGTGAAGAGGTTGTACGGTTTGAAACTCATGGCGGAGGTGTTGCAGCCGTAGAACAAGGTGAGGTCCTCGTTTAGGGTTTCGTCGGAGGAGAAGAGGGTGGCGTTGAGGGTGGTGTTGCGGAATTCCGACGGGCAGGTGTTATTGTATAGGTCGGAGCGTGAGAGGACGAGGGTGTTAAGGGTTTGATCGAACTGCAGGACGCGGTAGGAGAGCGAGAGGTGAGTCAACTCGGTGACGGCGTCGTTCCGGCAGGTGAGCGCCAGGTCCGGGTGGCCGCAGTGGGAGGGGCGGTCGCCGCCGGTGAAGGGGTAGGTGATGTTGGTGATCGAGCCGCATGAGAAGGTGCGGTTGCAGTTGGGGTAGGTGGTGGTGGGTTGGGAGTACGCCACCGGGAGGAGGGCGGCGGCGGTGGTGAGTGCGATGAAGAGAGAGAAAATAGAGGTTGGCATTGTTTTAGAGTGATGAGTGAGAAGCCATTTTCGTTTTTGTTAGTTTTGTTTGTTTGACGAATATTTGACCGTTGGAGCTGCCTTTGGTTGACCGGGAAGTTGGTACATAATAATTTGTCTGCCTATTTTTGTGTTTTATTATGGTAACGATTACATAATTAATAAGTTTTATGGTGTAATAAAACTAGATTAGTGAAAGATTATCTATGATTAATGATTCAATTATTTGCTTACAAAGATAGGGATTAGGTTAACCTGTGTTTAAATAATGGTGAAGAGAGAAGTCACATTGTCGCTATTATTTTTATTAATTAGGTAGAAATATAAAATAATATTGCAAATTATAATTTAATTACTTTGGTGACCAAATTGATCATATGATCTGCACAAAAAGGAATTATAATGTGACCTGTTGACTTCGTAGCCCATAAACATTGACTCACTATAATTTGGAGAATCATAGTCCAATTTTTTATTTAAATTAATCTCTTATTATGAACATTTTTTTTTATAATTTAATTTAATTTTTGCAAGCCCGAAGATTTCGTGATCAAAGCCCTAGAAAATTAGGATCAGGGAACAGTTACCGGAGAATCTCCGACCAATACCCTCTCCGGCGAGAAAACGGAACTACGGCGCGTACTAGAAAAAATGAAGAAACAGAAATGAGGAATGAGTTACACGTACCGTTTCCTCCACCACCAGGTGGAGTAGTATCGTTGCTGCAGCTGCTACCACGACGCCCGTCGCTGCAGTAGCAAACAAACGACGCCGCGTCCTGATTGTACCCGCACGCGCCGCCGGATGTGGCACATGCATCGCAGTTGTCGTTCTCCGCCGACCACCGGATCGAGAATCCACTCGCAAGAGCAGACTGCAGTAATGTTGTCGATGTGGTCGCCATCACTCCCAAATCCCGCGCCGCAGTTTGATTCACCGGAACAGAGATACTATAACTGCACGTGGCCCCATCTCCGAGCCCCAATGCTTCCCTCGTAAAAAACAAACTCCAGCTGTTTGTCCCATTCACGTTGCAGTTGAACTGATTGGGAAACGTTGTAGGAGGCAGCGGCGACTGATTCAGGTCACAGCCGTAGCGCAGAGTAATATTCTGATCATTCGCATCCGAATAAAAATTGAAGAGGGAAAAGTTTAAGGTCGTGTTGAAGAGATATTGTGGACAAATGTTGTTCCAAAGATCATCTCTCGAAACCCTGACAGTTTGCGTGGAATTGTTAAAATCGAAGACTCGATACGAATACGATATCGGTGGCATGTTGAGCAAGGGGACATCGCCCCCACAGTTGAGCTCGAATCCCGGATAGCCGCAGGCAGGGGGGCGGTCGCCCCCCCAGAAGGGATACGCTAATTCAGTGTTGCTACTGCCACACCGAAACGGCTGCCTGCAGGTTTCATACTGCACATCGTTTTGACATAGACAGGGTTGTATTCCTAGGAATACAACGAGGCTTGTCAGGATTAAGGGGAGGATTCTCGGTTCGTTTTTTCGCTCCATTTTTTTTCGGGGATGGAGGGGGAAAGAGTTATGATGATGTTTGGAGAAAGATACGATCGTATTTGGGTTGAATTAGTGTGTTACCGGACTTCGTGTTTAACGTGTGACATACGGGAGAGAATGACTTAGGAATTGGAAAAAGGTTGCTACTTTGTGGAATTTTTTTCAACAAATGGAAGCTTCTGTTGGAATGGAGCAGCAAGACTTGTTCCAAGTTAAATTCTTCTGAATAAGGATTAGGAAATTGAATGGATGGTAGCTAAGTTGAGTTTAGTCAAAATTAACCAGCTTAATTAGGTGGGTAATATTAGTGCTTTTCAAGACTTCAAACAAGTCAATAAAAGTAGATAGCTACCTGTATTTTTAGTATTATTATCAATTGATTACATGTATGTAAATTAAGTTAGATAATCCCAGTTTCGAACTTCTAATCATTTACTTTAAAATAAAATGTGTCTACTAAGAATCAACAAGCTAAGTTGGAAGAAGCACTATATATATATGCTTACCCGGCTGTGGTCTATTGGCTGGTGAAGCTCCACTAGCCATTGAACAAGTGTCAGAAGCGCAAGGCGGATCACGGCAAAAACAAGTCGTTCGATTCGCTTCGGGATCATACCCACAACGACCCCCCGACTCGGTACAGTCAATGCAACTTTTGCTACTAACCTTCCACGTAATCACAAAACCCCGTCGGATAATTTCTTCCAACCGGGTCGTGTTCGTGGGGCCCACGCCCCCGTTACCACTTACGTCCACCGGAACCACAACACTTGAATTACAATTAACCGGGGCCCGCATTCCAGGAATTACATAAACGCCACCGTACTCGGAGTTCCCGCAAGAAGTAAGGCTTATTAAGCCAGGAAGATTCGACCGAGGACAGCCGAACAAGAACGTGAAATTCGTGTAAGCAGCACCATAGTCGAAGAGAGTGTAGTCCAGAGTGGCGTTAGCAATTTCTTGCGGGCAGGTTCCTTCCATGATATCATCTCTCACAACCCTCATGGTTTGCGCGTTTTGGTGAATTTCGAGCACCCGATACTTTGAACTCATGATATCTATGATGGTTGCGTTGTTTCGATCATCACACTCGAGAACTAAACTCGGATGGCCGCAATAGGGAGGGTCGCGGGACCCACGAAAAGGGTACCCGATTCTAGTGATTGTGTTTCCACAGCTAAAGGTGTTGTCGACGCAGGTTCGGTAAAAATCTTCTTGATTTGTGGATACATTAGTGGATTGGTAAAGAATAATCAAGAATTCAATGATGAATATGAGATGGAGGTGGGGAAATAGCCATGAAAAGATTTGGGAATTCATGAAGGAAGATTTGTAGTTTGGCTGGTGATACAGATCAAGATTCTTGATTAGTATATTTGTTAATGAGATAATGAAGATTAACTAATGGAGTTTAACTTTGAAAGAAACACGTTTTCTCTTGCAATTGAAGTTAGTGGGTACTCACATTGCACTTAATACATAGGAAAATAATGGGTAACCAACTTAAACTTGAGAGCACTTAATTTCGGCATAGAAAATACTACTAGTACACGACGATGACGGTTTGTTGAGCGTTTTCTACCTAACTAAACAAATGAAGATTGTTATCGTTTTTACGTTTAATCCCTCGTAAGTTTAATCAATTGGCCATTTACGTCGTCTTTACAATTTTTCGGGCAGGGGATCCACCATTGTTGGTTGGGAGTTAGTAAGTGATGTTTGATTGAGATTTTCAGTCTTGATGCACCTTACCTTTGGGGGTGTTTTGGACTTTTCACAACATCATCGTATGCATTACGAATACGTCTTATATACGATGGTGTATGTCGGAATCGAACATGATGGTTTGGTGTAAATCATGAAAATGTGGTGAAAAAAAAAAACACTAATTTATCTCAAAAAATAAACCACAGCACTTTCGCTAAAAAAAATAACAATAACCTCCAAGTTAAGCTTCATATGATTTTTATTTCAAAAACTATTTCTATTTCTCCAAAAAATTGAATCTAGATATATTATTATTATATAATACCCTATTCTTCTCAACTAAAGGTGTAAATGAGCTGAGCCGGCTCATGAACTCGATGAGCTGGTTCGAGAAAAGCTCGAGACTCGACTCGACTTGAGTTCGAGCTCACCAAATTTGACTCGAGCTCGAGCTCGACTCATGTAGACCCCTATTCTCAACCAACTACACCCCAACTCCCAAGTATTAATGCAGAAACACCAAAGAAAAGTGACGTCACACAATTTAAACGTGTTCATATTTTGTTGCATGAGAGATATGCATTCGCCATGACTCATGTTCTATGCAATTTCGTCAAATGACAATCTGATGTCGTATGTATTTACTATTTAGCTATTTTTCTTATACATGATAACAATATATAATTTTTTTAATTTTTAATTATAATTTTTTTTTAATGTTAAAAAAAAAAGAAACAAAGAAAAAAAGAAAAATACAAGTACATCTGTACATGCGTACCTGTACCTGATTCTGATGCTGCGGGTGCTACCACCGTCGTGGATGCTAGAGGGCTGTAATTTTCGGCAACAGCCACCGCGCCGGCAACACATGTTTCCGACTTCGCCACCGACTCATCGGGACAAAAGCAAACGAACTGCTTCCGCGCAACGTCGTACCCGCACCCCCCACCGGAACTCCGGCACTCACCGCACGCTCCGCCGCCTTCCACCACCTTGAACCGCACCTCAAACCCCTGTTCCACCACCTCCTTCACATCGCTGAAATTCGCCAGAGACGCATAGCTCACCGGAACCACGACGCTGACGTGGCACATCCCGGGAAGCTGCATCGTCCCAAACTCCACATAACCATTTCTCTCCGCTATCCCCTTCACCGGGCAGTCGAATTGGTTCGGCACCGGTAAAACCAGCGCCGGGCAACCGTACAGAAACGTCAGATTCACGTATCCGCCGCCGGCGAAATCGAAAAGCCCAAAATCCAGAGACGAGTTTTTGAATTCATGTTGGCAGAAGCTCCGCGAGAGATCGTTTCTGGAGATCCTGATTATTTGAGTTTCTGGATTCAACTCCAAAACACGATACTCTACGCCGTTCATCTTTATTTTGGTGGTTGTGGCATTTTCACAGTCAAGTTGTAGGCGCGGGTAGCCGCATTCCTCCCGTCTATCGCCGCCCCAAAACGGGTAGCCGATTCCGGTGAGTTCGCCGCAGTTGAACAGATCTCTGCATCTCGTTTGCGTTTCGTTTTGGAAACATGAAATTGGAGGAAGATTAAGGATTGAAAATGGCAGAATTATGCCGAGCAAAATCAGTGTGAAACTTTTTGTAGTTGAGAAGTACAGTAGTTTCATTTTTCATGCCCTCCTCCCCTATTTAGAATTTTAGATACATAGTGTGACATTTATATATATGACAAAATAAAAATAAATGAATTTACATATGAGACTTATTATTAGATTTTAACGACAAATTACGGTCATCCCTGGTTATGGTCAAATTACGAAAATCTCCACTTATGTTTGGGTAATTACAGCCACCCCTCAACTATGTATTTTCTTACGAAAAGACCCTTCTATAGGTAAATTTAGGGATGTTATTTCTGTAGAACCGAACCGAAATTTTGATACGTCAAAATTTCATACTGTTTACCGAACTAAATATGTGATTTGTTTTGCTAAATAATCAAATTATCCAAACAAGAGGGTTTTTTCCTTCATAATTTGGCCATACCCAGGGGTGGCAGTAATTTGCCCTAGATTTTAATCATAAAAAGAAAAATAATTATAGCTCGGTTTTGAATTATATCATAGTATATAGCTCGATTTCGAATTACTCGAGCTTAAAGATTAAAACTATAGTGACGTATAAACAAAAATAAATATTAAATTTTCAAATACTGATTTATGATCACATGATTCACATCACTATTAATTGAAGATTGTTAAGAGTTGGCAACACTAGAGTCAGGATTTTAAGTTTTGGGAGATCGAATGCATTAAAACTTTTATAAGTGGGACTGATATTATCAATTATACATGATTTTCTTTTAAATTTCTACATAAAATATAGGAACTCGAGAATTGTTGGGGGCCAATGCCCCCCTTTGAACCCTATACTACTCCACCAATGATTGGTTGACTCCAGCACCGATTGGTCGACAGGAAAGATGAAAGAAAATGTCAATCTTGTTTGACTTTTTAGGCTTGTTCATTAATGGAGCAGCCTCTGTTCTAGTTGAGTATTTAATAAAGTGGAGGCGATTTTGTTTTCAATTATTAGAGCTATTAACTAATTATTATGATACTATATATCATTAAGTCGTCAACTATACCTCGTACTACAATTACAGATATCTTACTCAAAAAAAAAAAAAAAAAAAAAAAAAATTACAAATATCTACGTGTATATTTTAATGTTGAATTTTCAGAATATTTAGCAGTTGCATATCTTAACAAAAAAACTAATTAACCTTCAAATTTACTAAATTCTACCAATATTCAAATTAATTAATTATATTAATATAATAATATTGAGAAATTACAGTTATCTCCTTGAGATTAACTGTAATTAAAGCTAGACCTCCTCAAGTCTGAAAATTAATTACACAATCATGCTTTGAAGTTTTGATTTAAATTACAACTAGTATAAAAGTACATTATACTATAATAACAAAATATATTAGTGATATTTAAATTACATCAACATCAAATAAATGAATCAATTAATAAAGAAAAAAATAATAATAATAAAAATTCGTAGAGGAAAAAATAGATTTTTTTTAAGATGCCATTAAAAGAAAAGCTGAATAATAAGAAAGATGCAAATCGTTGCACTGAGATAAGAACGAAAAAATAAAGGAAATATATAATGAAAAAATTAGTACAGAAAAAAAATACAAAATTTTCCTTGGAGTTTCTTATTAGGGTTGCTTTCTTTCTTTTATATATAAGATAAGATTAACCATTAAATAGAATTAATTATTGCATAGATTGTATCTCAAGGGAGGTTTGAGTAATGTTTCAAATTTAAATTGGCTTTATTATATGTGTAATTTTATATCTTACAAATAAATCTTTTTTATGGGTGAATAGCAATATTTATCAAATTTATGTGAATTTGAAATCTTAATCAAATCTCATGGAAATTTTGCAAAAACTTTTCATACATTAAAGAAACTACTAATAAGAAATTCAAGAAAACCCGATTAAGAGAAAATATGATCGATCAATCCAAGAACAAAAACGATCGATGAATCGGATCTAACATGCATGGCGAATCTCGTTGATAACCTCTGTGAACAGCAAACATGGATCAGTTCCCATTTACAAGATCAAACTCGAATAAACGAAGGAAAAAAAAAATTGTACTATAATGATTAAAAAACCCTAATCTAACACAAACCCTAATTAAAGAACCCTAAATATTGATCAAAAAAGAAAGAAAGAAAAAAAAGATTATAAATCCTTCAAGAAGCTGATGAATCCATCGTCACCAACAACCGGTTCTTTTAATTCGGGGCAGAATACGCACGGATCATCCTCCGATGATTTTCCGATTCGGCCCCCAATGGTGCGCCAACTGCCGGTAAGAATATTGTAATACATCTCCGTCTCCAAATCATGAACCATCTTGGCCCCATATTTGTGATTGCCGAATGCGAACGTGACAGCTGGCTCTTCAACGAACGGGTACACTTCTTGATCTTCATCGGAATAAGATTCTTCGTGACAGGGGCCGAATCGTAAAATCCACCGGTGCTTCATTCTCTCGTGCACTGCTTCGTCTTCTTCTTCCTCTCGTAGTTTCTGTAGTAATTCTTCTGGACACAGATACTCACTTGATTCTTCTTCAACGTCGCTCATGATCGTATGTATATATATATGTATATGTGTATGTATATAGGAAAACTGAAAGAAAAAAAAAGGGAAAATTAGTGCTTCTTTTTCTCTGATGCAAAAAAAAAAAAATAATGATAAAAAATTAAAGATGTTTAAAGTGTTGAATGAAGAGAGAGGGTTCTGTATGTATATATTATATATATATTTGTGAATGCGTATATATGTGTGTGTATATATTATATATATAGGAATATGGAATTTTGATCGAATATAGA